CTGGCTGTAGTATTGAGAATGCCCAGCAGGGGGCTGCTCTAATCCAGGAGGCGGCCAGGGTGGCTGAGGCTCAGAAGTCACAGTGTGGGTGGTGAGACTCTGCGCGCTCTGGAAGGTGGGACCACATGGATTCAGAGTGAGTGGTGGGAGGGGCAGGGGGAACTAATGCTTTTGGCCTGAGCCATTGGATGGGTGGATCCACCACCACCTTTGCTGGGAGAGACTGTGCAGAGGATGTGCAGTGGGCTGACGTGTTCCCCCAAGTTTGTATGTTGAAATAAACCCTAATGAGATGGTGTCAGCAGGCAGACCACTGGAAGGCAATTAGGTCACAAGAGTGGATCCCAGGACCCCAGGGAGGAACAGTGAGAAGTCGGCCATCTGCAACCAGGAAGAGGCCTCACCAGAACCCGTCCAGCGGGCACCGTGACCTCCGACCTCCAGCCTCCAGCCTCCAGAAGCCTAAGAAACGAATTCCTATTACTTGCGAGCACTGGCCTGTGGTACTCTGTTACAGCTCCCCAGCTGAGTAAGACGGGAGGTCTGGGGGCCTGAGGTCTCCTGTTGAGGAGTTAGAGCTCCCTTCCGTGGAGCAGCCACTTGGGTGTGTGAGTCTGGGGCTCCGGAGTGAAGTCTGGCCCTTCGACATAAATGTGAGTCATGGGCGCACAGCCCCATTTATAGCCAGGAGGCTGCTGGGCCCCCAGAGGGAGGTGAGGCCCGAGCGCAGCTGTACGCTCATCCCCCTAGCAGTCCTGGGTGGGGGAGGGGGGTAACCAGCCAAGGAGCCTGAGAAGCGGCAGCTGCCTGCCCTGGAGGGAGGGGCAGGCGCAGGGCACACCCTGCAGAGCTCATGACTGGGGTCTGCCGGGGCTCCTCCCACTGACCCTTAACAGGCTTCACCCCGGCTTCCTCTCTTCCCTACTGGTTTCTCCCTAGCTCTGTCCCTCTCCACCAGGCTGTGGCCCGGCTCCTCCCACTGGCATGCCAGCAGCAACTTTTGTATCCCCAGGGCTGGGCACTGCGACCAGAAGGTGCTGCGGGCAGTTCTGGGGATAGAGGGGCAGTGTGTTCAGCAGCCCTGGTCCTGAGGAGCTCCGCCTAGCCCAAGCCTGGGGGCTCCAGCCCTTCCCTGAGCAAGGCAGGGTCGCACCCACCCGGCCCCAAGCTGGTGACCTCCACCTCCTTTTGGCCATGGGGCAGGGGTGGGGGGCTCTGGTGGGCAGACTGCCGCCACTGCCTGCTGCCGCCAGCAGCCGTGGATGGGGACGTGAAGGGGGGCTCTGGCAGGCCTCCCTGGCCCCTGCTTGCCCCGCCTTGGCAGCCTTGGATGGGGGCTCCCTGGGCTGGACCACCCTGACAGGAGGGGCTCTGGGGCTCTGCACCGCACCCCCAGCCTCTCTGAGGGTAGTGTTTTTCTGCGGGGACCAGGGGTTCTCTTCGGGGGCGGGAGGGCTCTCCGCGGGATGGTGAAGGCAGGGGGGCTCGCGCAGGCGGGGCGGTGGGGCGGGTGGAGATGGGCAGGGACGGGCGGGGATGACCACTCGGCTCCGGGCTGTCATTTGTCGTTATATTTAGCAGCAGGGCTGGTCGGCTGGGGCGGTGGTGGGGGCTATAAGCGGCTGGGGCGCCCACCCTCAAAGCAAGAGTCTGAGTGAAGAGGAGACGGCGCTGGAACCTATGGACACGTCGTACCCCCGCGAGGACCCCCGGGCTCCGATGCCCCGCAAGGCTGACGGCGCCCTCCACACGGCCCTCACCCTGGGGGCACCGGGACCCCCACCTCGAGACCACTTGATCTGGTCCGTGTTCAGCACCCTCTACCTGAACCTGTGCTGCCTCGGCTTCCTGGCGCTGGCCTACTCCATCAAGGTGGGCTGTGTGTCAAGGGGGGGCTCAAGAGCGTTTCATGGGGAGCAGCTTGTCACGGTGGGATGCAGGAGGGCTCTCCATGGGGAACTGCCTATGAGGGGTCCGCTCTGTCAGCATGGAGGTTGGTGGCGGTCCTTCCCCTCATGCAGGCGTCTCCACCGAGGCGAGTGCCGCTCCTGAAAACGAAGATGGGTCTGGTCCTTGGCGGGGGGGTGGTCTAGTCTGTCCCGAAGAGCCCAGGGTTAATGGGGGCTTACCCAAGGGGATCTCTTCCACCAAATGGGGGCTTTTCTCATGAGGGGGGCTCCTGTGAACAAAGCCCCCTGGCTTCGGCTCCTCTGGGAGGGGTCTCAGCCCCCCAGAGGACTCCCCACCCCCAGAGGTCCTTGGAGACTGATGCTGGCCTGGGATAGCCACTGGGCCTATAGCTGGGGTGGGAGGATGCAGAGGCCCCTTCCAGCTCCAAGTTCGGCTGCGGCCCCCTTAACCCCCACACCCCGGGGCACCAAGCTCATGTGTCCGGTTGGAGGCAGTGAAGGGAGTGGGTCAGCCCAGGTAATATCCCCTCAGGCCACACCTCTCCAGCCCGATTTTAGGTCCAGCACGGGTCCTCCAAGGTGTGGATCTAGTGGCTGCCTGGGGTGGGGGTGGCAGGGCCCCCGGCCCCAAGCATGTGTAGTGACCTGGCCGTGCTGCTGGTCTGCAGGCCCGAGACCAGAAGATGGCTGGAGACCTCGAGGCAGCCCGGCGTTTTGGCTCCAAAGCCAAGTGCTACAACATCCTGGCCACTATGTGGGCATTGGTGCCGCCTCTGCTGCTCCTGGCGCTGGTGGTGACGGGCGCCCTGCACCTGTCCCGGCTGGCCAAGGGCTCTGCCGCCTTCTTCAGCACCAAGTTCGACGACTCAGATTATGACTGACAGGCTGGGCCCTGTCCCCGTCCTGACCCAGGGACCCTGGCCCCAGAGCACTGCCCCAGGCGCTCCACCCTAATCCCCTGGAACCCCAGCTCTCCTACAGGCTTAAGGCTCACCACCAGCCCCACTCTGGGCACCTAACACTGACCTTGAAGACCCTCCTTTTGGACCCAAGGGGTCTTGCTCTGACCTTGATGCTCCCTAGTTCCCTCCCTCCCCACTCACCAGGCTTAGCTTTGGCTTCACAATTAAAAGTGCCTGGCTCTAGAAAGTGCCTTCTGGGACCCATTCCTGGCTCGGTAGGGGGAGTGTCTTCCTGAGGGAGCTTCCTAGGGACCACCGCAGCCGAATCCCCTTGGACTGCCCCCAGCATGGATGGTGGGACGTCCTGTCCTGCAGCTTGGCCGTGCCCTGACTATTCCCTTTACTCAGCTGGTCCTGTGGCTTCTGGGTGGAGGTGCCTGAGTATTTTAGAATGAAGTTTGGAAACTCAAGCTTTTGATCTCTGTAGTGCTGTGGTTTAGGGGCCTGCCGCCTTCCAGAATGTTTAGTGGCCTGTCTTCCAGAATGTGTGGGCCCATCCCCAAGTCAGTGCACGTGCGTGCATGTTAAGCAGGAGTCCTGGCTGGCGAGAGACTTGTCCTTGTCCTGTGTGTTCCTGTCTGGGTGGGCCTGTGCTGGCCTTCTTTGGGTCACTCTGTCCTCATGACCCCTGCATCCGTTTAATTCTGGTAAATCTCCATCCTGGCAGTGGGACCCCTCCTTCCTGGATCATTGGGGCTGGACAGAGTCCCACTGTCATCCGTGCACACATATATCCTACACACACACACACACACACACACACAACTGTGCAGAGAGGGAGAAATTTGGGGGTGAGGACATTTTCTGAGTGTCCTGGGTGCGAGGTGCATGTCCTCATATCAATTCATCTCCCTTGTGCACCCCCCACCCCAGGCCCAGCAGTCTGGCAGAGGGGGCGTTGCTAAACACACGCGCACACCCTGTGTGGCTGGGGCTGAGGCCAATGACAGGGCAGGCTAATTGCAGGGACCTTAACCACAGGGTGGTGCAGGGCTTTGAGCACTCCACCCATGGTCCCTTCCCTCCCCAGGGAGCCCCCTTTGCCTGCCCACCCTGCCTGGGCTGGGGGTGTGGGTCTCTGTCTAGCTGATGTAATTGGAGCCCCCTGAGTAGCCCCCCTTCTCTGACAGCCAACAGTGTGCCCTCAGAGATGGGTCCCGGCTGCTTGGTGCTGCTCGAGCCAGCCCAAGGCAGAGGTTGTGCTGGCAGGGGCCTAGGGTGGAGATGGCACTGGCCAATGCTGGCGCCAGTCCCAGGTTGAGCCAGGGACAAGGCCAGTGCTTGGACCAAGAAGGAGACAGTGTTCCAACACTAAGCTCCAGGTTTGACCCAGGAAGGTACCAGCTCATGCTGGACAGAGTCTGGGTGCAGGGGTCAGCCTGTGCATGGCCGGGTACGTGTCTCCAAGCATGGTGGTCTGCCAGTGCCCGTGTTTGGTGAAGGGAGCAGAGATTATCCAGCCTGTGCCCAGGTGCTGAGGACAGAGAATATGCAGTCAAATCAGACGCAGGGGAAGGTCACCAGCAACCCTTCCTGCCTCAGGCTATCTCCTGGGCAGGTCGTGGGACCCTGATCAAGTTTAAGCAGTTGGCTGCCATGGGCTACACACTGTCACCCTGTCAGGCCCCTCAGAGGGCTGCCCCACTTCACGTGCAGGTGGACGCATATACACGGCACCCACACAGCAAGTATCAGGTCACATCGGTCCCAGGGGTGAAGGGCCACACACCACCCCCACCCGATGCCTCTGCACACATGTGGCTCCAGGACTGCAAGGTGAGCGTTCGCTCCAAGGGGACGGTCACTGGCCACCGCGCTTGGCTTTAACAGACCCATCTGGGCCTCTGCTGCACTGCTGGAGGCTAAGGGAGAGCCCATGGGCGCCCCAGCAGGGCACAGGCACTATTCCGAGGACACTAGCCTGCACATTGGCCAGTGAGCTGCCTGGAGGCCACAGTCCCTGCAGTGGCACGGAGGCAGCCCTGTGACGCCGGGCCTCCGCCCACCCTCCTCACCCTCTCCATTGTGGGGCTTGGTCCCTCCAGCTTGTCTGCCTGGTGGCTGCTTCTTGGAGACCCGGGGCTAACTCTCTGAGAACAGCCAGGATGAAGGAGGGTGGAAACGCAGATGTGACGTCTCTACATGGGCAAGGTTCTGTGGTTCTGGCCCGAGAGGAAGGGAAACTGCCTCCGGTTCAAATCCTCCCTTTCAGGAGGGAGCCCAGCAGCGCCTCACAGCAGACAAAGCTTGCCCAGCACTGAACTTTAATTCCTCAGGCAGATCTGGTGCCTCGTGACGGCCTTCACCAAGATTTCAGGGCAGGCGCCACCTGACCTCATCCTCGGGAGACCCCAGAGAGCGCAAGTCTGATGTGCGAAGGCCCCGGGGGGAGGGTGGGCAGAGCCTCGCTGAGGGCAGCCTGCACAGGTCGTGGCCTTGAACTCACACACAGCTGGCCCAAGCCCTTCTGGCCGGTCAGAGGGAAATGCAGGATCCTGCTGGGTGTCCCACTCCGTCCCTTGCTGGCTGAGGGCAGGCATGTGACAGAGGCAGCCACTCGACCGAAGGGGCCCAGAGGCAAGAGGAGCCAGGACGGAGGACACTGAGGCCCCACAACAGCCCAGGGCACCTGGACCCAGCCACGCCTGCTGCTGCTGCGTGACACAGAAGGCCCTTGGCGGCAAAGCTGCGACTCAGGGTCCTGAGTGAGCCCACAGGAGACTGCGTCTTCCCCGACACCCCTCCTCCCTGCCGTCCACATCTGCCTGCACCTGCCTCTGTCTTCTCTGCAGAACTGTTGGTCACCCCCCCGCCTCACCCTGTGGCGTCTAGGGAAGGGGCGCCAAGGGAGGGCAGGTGCAGGCGTCAGCCCAGAGGGGCAGGAGCAGACGTGGCTGCAGGGGTTTAGGCTGGGGGAGGGGCGCCCAGGCTAGAGGCAGCGTCTTGAACTTAGGCCAAAGAATCCAGACTTTCCCTGGAACCTGTGAGTCTGGTTGCCAGGTGGAGGGTGGAAGTGGGTGGCAGGCCAGGAGGGCGTCGAGGACAGGGGCGCAGCCGGCTGGGGGCACCTCCAGAGGGAGTGGCCAGAAGGGTTAGGGTTAGCCAAGAGCCCTGGCCGTCTGGGGGCAGGGGCAGGTCAGGGCCGGAGGAGGGACTCTGTGGGGCTGGAGGGGGCCTTGTGGGCTCTGGGGCAGGTGTCTCATGTCGTCCAAAAATCCTCCCAGGAAACTGTTGGAGCAGAACCTGCTGCCCCTGCTTCCTACAGGCATGACCTCTGTATCCGGCCAGCTGAGCAGGGAAAGGAGATCTTGTGTCCTGCAGGGAGAGTGGGCGTTGTGGAGTGAGGGCACACACTGGGGGGCTACCTTGGGGGTCACACGCCCTGGACCCCTGAGTGGGTCTGGGAGTGGCTGCCTACCTGGGGGCAGGGGGAGCCGAGCCTGTGATGGCCAGAGCTCAGCCTCCAGTGGAGGGGCCCACGGACCTGACCGGGCCATGACCTCGACTGTCACAGAACCCTCGGAGAAGGAAAAGTCAAGCTTGCTCCCCTGGTAGGAGATGCCAGTGACATACACTCCTGAGACTCCCGCAGGACACGTGGGGTCGAAGGCCAGACCAGCCTGGGTGATCCTGGGGGAGGGGAAGCTTCTGTGCAGAGAGCAGGTGGCGGCAGACGATTGCCCTCCGCTGGCCACTGCACTCACCTGAACCCCGTGAACCCAAACAGTGCCGCTTGCAGGAAGCCCCCCATGCCCGTTAAGAAGTTCACGGCCCCTGACCCGTCTGCATTCTCCGTCCACACCTGCAGGGGGCAAGGCAGTCATACAAGAGGAAGGCGCGGTCAGTGTGCAGGTTGAGGCTGGGGCCAGGCTGACCTTGAAGGGCTCCGAGATGTTGGGAAAGCTCTTCTCCAGGAGGTCCCATGCCCGCCTGGCGTCCTTCAGCTCCAACCAGCCCACAGCAAACATGCTCTGGGGTCAGAGGTCAGAGGACATGATGGGGTGAGGCCCACTGCGTGGGGAGGTAAGACCAAGGCCAGTGGGGCAGGGCTGGGGCCGCGTGAAGACCACCACCCATCACCCCTCAGTCTCCTTACCCAGGTCATGGCCGGGCCCTGGGGGGATGTCACAGGCTCATAGAACTCCAGGTTTTTCTTGCGAACCTGAGGACTTAGGGGGAAGGGGACAGGGTACCCCAGCAGCACGACATCTGCCTGCTTCACCTCTCTCCTGGGGGTGAGGGGACAGGTGCTGCAGGTGGGGTGGGGGCAGGGTGGGGACAACTCTATCGGGAAGGGGGCATCCAGGGTGGAAACGAGGTCCTGTGGGAGGGGAGAGGGGACGTGAAGGAGCTCGGAGTCCACTCACCAGGCTGGTACCCATCAAACTCAGGGTGGAAGTTCAGCTTCGGGTCAAAGGGCACCTTGATCTTATCAGCCACCACCAACCACTGGTCGGGAATGGGCCGACCCAGGTCCTGGGCCAGAGCAGCAGCAAAGTGCAGGCTAGGAGCAGAAAGGGGACAGGGGGCTGCAGCCCCGGCACTCCTGCTGGCCCGCTGCAGGGTAGAGGCTGGGGGACTCCTGGGTCTGACCTGTTCTGGACCAGGACGTTGGTGTACACGGAGTTGTCAACTCCTGAATGATACTCATCAGGCGGCATGACTCCTGGGCACACAGTGCAGGACGATGTTTAGTGCAGGGTCTCACGGCCCGGCTCCTGGTGCCAGCAGCCAGCATGGGGCTGGCAACACCAGGTGCCAGAAATCACTCTCCCGCCCCGCCCCATGACCCTCCACTCTCCTGCCGCTTTCCCCTCCATCATCCACGTGCCTCCTGCCCCGACCTTCCACCTTCCTCACGCTCTTACCCTTCAGGTGGTACTTCTCGTCACCAGGGTTCCACTCAACACGGCTGCACCAAAACTGAGCCACGGCACTGACCACATCCCAGCCACCAGCCTCTCGGAAGAGCTGCAGGTCCTGGGGAGCAGGAGAGGGTGGGCCAGAAGCCACAGGACCTATGGTTCTAGCTCCCACTGGTCACTGCATTTCTTGCCAACACCCACCCTCTGAGTGCCCGGAAATGAACACCCAGCTCCGAGACACTCCAAGGGACTGGCCCCAGACAGGAAGTCAGGACAGCGTGGGAGGGTGTGGCCCCGCTGGGTGGGAGGTCACACCCGGTGGGCACAGTGACCCCTCACCTGGGTGGCGTGGTAGTACAGCTGGAAGGCCAGCACCACGGCCCCATTGATGTGGAGCTCCTGGGTCCCATAAATGGCCTCGGGGCACACCTCCAGGCCAGAGCCTGCGCTCTCCCAGGCAAACTTGGCTCCCTGCGGGGTTAGGGGGATGGAGCAGACTTGATGCTGTTCTCAGGGCCAGGGGTTAGCTGGCCCATTTCCTGATGCTGTCAGCCTTCAGCCATGGAGGGCAGACAGAGGTGGGGGACCCACCTGTCCTGGGTGCCCTTGTGGGGCCTGCTGCTCTGAGTCCCCACCATGGGCCAAGTGGCTTCTGCCTAGTTTCCACTGCGTGCTTGCCCTAGGGCAGGGCCCTGAGTGGACCCCAGCCGGGTCCCAGTCAGGCTCTTCTTCCCACACGTGCATACAGGCTGGGGAATGTTGCTAAGCCCACCCGCAGAGGGGTCCGGGGGGAGGGATGTAGGCTTGGGAGGGCCATGGGAGGGGGCCCCATAGGCTGGGTGCCCAGGTCCCCCTTACCTGGAAGCCCAGGTCCCGGGCATTGTCCAGGGCCCCGCCCAGTGTCCGGATGCGGTACTCCAGGAGAGCCCTGGCAGCCTCGGGGTGGAACATCAGGATATTGGGGAGCATCCAGAGGTCCTGCGAGCACAGCAGAGGAGTCCTTGGAGTGGAGCTCTCACCCCTCTCCCCCACCTTCCCTGGGGGCTCAGAGCAACCCCTGCTCTCACTGCCTCCTTGGCAGCCCCTCCTCCACTGCCAACTCGGGTCTGTTCTGGACCCTCCACCTGCCAACCACAAGGCCCCATCTGCAGCCCAGTTGCTCCTCTGGCCTGGTCCCCAGCCCAGCACTTCGTGTCCCCAACTGGCATCTGGGCTGGCCTGGGGCCAGGATCTGGGCGTGGGCAGCCTGGGGAGGGGAGTGGGGTGGGGGGGCTACTCTGTTGTTCACTGGCTGCCTGATGAGAGGGAACGACTCAGCTTCTCTGAGCCTCACCTGTAAAGGGAGCCCCAGCACCAGCTCCTCTGGCACCAGGTGGCGTGGGAGCAGCACTCTGGACTCTCCCAAGCCCAGTGGTCACCCAATCCCTGCTACCTCTGGGCCCCCCTCCTGTCTCAGGCCTCACCTTCCTCCACCCTCCCTCCACTCGGCAGCCACAGCTCTCTCCAGAACACACCTCTGTCCCTGTCCTTCCCCAGGGAAAGTGTCCGTGGCCTCCTCAGCCCCTCTACGGCTGCTCTCCTGCCTCGGTGAGGGCACCCCTTGCCCTGGCCGGGTTCCATACACCCGCTTAGCTCTGGGCCTTTGTACCTTCTGGTCCCCTGGCCCGAACCACTCCTTTCCACCAAATGCCTACACATCCTTCAACTGAGACACTGCCTCCTCCAGGAAGCCTTCCCTCTGCCAGCCACAGCCCCTGTCCCAGGCAGGGAGAGGCAGCAGCAGTGCCCTGTCCTTAGCCACAGGACTCTCCTCATCTGTGTGCTGCTGGCCCTGCTGCAGGTGCGTGTCAGGGGTGAAGCGTGCGCACCTGGTCCCAGAAGACGTGGCCCCAGTAGCATTCCTCGCGGCTCCCGTTGGAGAGGCCCCCAGGGCTGAGGCCATGGCAGACATAATGCGGGGCACCAGGCTGGGGCAGGGCACTGAGCAGGTAGTAGAGGGCCCCACGCAGGGCCTGGCGCAGGGGCAGGGGCCCCACCACGTCCAGCCCACAGTCTGCCCAGAGCTGAGCCCAGGCCTGGGCATGGGCTGTGTAAAGAGTGCCCCGGGCCTGCAGGTGCAAGGCGTCGGCGAGGCAGGCCTGGGCCTCTGCTTGGCTGCCGCCCACCACCGTCAGGAACTCCCATGTCCCCACATCCTCCCCTTCCCTAAGAGTCAAGGCTGGGGGCACTGGCGACCACAGCATGTGCACCTCCTGCTGTGACCCCCCAGGCTGCTCGGACGTGAGCGTGCGGCCATACGCGTACCTGCAAGAGCACGGCTGTGTCTCAGGGACAGGCTCCCTCCTCCAGCCGCCCGGCCTGCCCTGGCCCCCTCCTCACCGGGCTCCCTGGAAGTCGGGACCCAGATGCAGGTCCAGGTCCGGACTTTCTGGGGAGAAGGCTGACTGCAGCAGCACTGTGACGGGCCAACTTCCTGCAGCCAAGCGGGTGATGGACACACTGAAGGCCAGGACGTGAGGCAGTGTGCGGTGGGCATAGATGCGCTGAGAGGCCCGGAAGCGGGGGCCCTCCAGGGTGTGCAGAAAGGAGCCTGGGGAGGACACAGCAACTTGCACACCCTACTTTGGGCCACTGAGGACAGTTTCAGAGCTGCTGGCCTTTCTGGGCTGGGACTGGAGTCCGTCTCTCCCCTAGTAAGGTATCTCTACCTCCAAGCCCCAGCTGCCTTGTCTGGGAAGTTACAGCTGCATAGGGGACCCCAGGCTCAGGCCAGTCCAGGAGGCGCACTGGGCTGAAGGCCTCACAAAGTGGCCTCTCAGGGCCTCCTTTTCTTTGGGAGTCGGCCATCCTGAGTGAGGAGGTACCAGCACAGGACCTCTGTCAGTTCTCCACTCCCTGGGACAACGGTGGGGGCTGTGGGGGCAGGACAGGCAGTGGCTACCTGTGTTAGTGTCCAGGGTAAAGGTCTTGGTCAGCTGCTCTCCTGTCCCTGCAGGGACCTCCAGCTTGACATTGAGGGGACTGGGCAGAATGGCCCGGTGCGTGTCCCCACAAGCCCCATTGTACACGCCGCTCACATGCAGTGTATCATGATACACGCGTGTGCCTAAGTATGCATTGGTCACGGTGGCCAAGAGCCGGGGGTCACTGGGCAGAGAATGGGCAGAGAATATGGTGGGGTCCTCGCCGGCATCCTCCATGGAAAGGCTTGCACAGTGGAGTGGCCTGGAAAGGGGGGAGTCAGAGGCCTCTCAACGGCAGGGACTTCCTCTTCTGACTGTAAACCCTAAGACCTGCCTTGGAACTTGGCTGACGCCCCCACAGATGGTGGGGGGCTGCAGGCCCACCTGGGAAGCCCTGATTTTCCAGACTTCCCACTCTTAAGCCACCCCAGGAAACACCCTGAATCTTCAGGGGTGCTCAACCCCCCCCCCAATATTGATCTCCAGGGACCCAACTGAGACCACAGACTCCCACTTTAGGACCTCAATCCTAACCCTTCCAGCTCTCTCCAAGCCCCACAACCACGAATGGGTCTTGCTGGCCGGGAAGCGAGGAGGCCTCGGCCAGGCTGGGCCCGGGTGGGTTGTGTGCAGGAGCTCGGGGAGGCAGGCTGCCGATGGCAGGCAGGGATCTGGGGCTCACCGCAGGCCTGCCGTGTACCTTGGCTCCAGCTGGGTCGGTGCCGCCCCTCTGGGACCGTAGAGAGAAGTTGCCGCGGGGTTGAGTCTCCCGGAAGGCCGCGCGGTCCCCGCCCCAGGGCGGCGCGGGGCGGGTGGGACGGCGATCCCCACCTCCGGGGC